GGCAGCTGCCAGTGAGTTACCTCAGTGCTGACACTGGCTCACAAACAGCTGCTGGACATAACAAAGCTGAATTGATTGCCCAGATTGCTGATGTCACCACAGTGGACCAGACAAATACTATCACCCACTTGGAAAGTCTGAGACTTCAAATTCCCACTGAAAAAGTAGCAGTGTGTATTCCCTCTGACACCTTGGCCACCCTAGAGGAAATAAAGATGCTGAGGAGTAAAAAGGAGCTCCAGCATGGTCTGGGTTTATTTGCTTTTTGGAGAAAACATGTTCCAGACTTCTCCATTATTGCTGCCCTAGTGGCATCATGCCAGATAAGAAAAGGAGTTGGATAAATAGATAATTCCTTCTTTTTAATAATGGGTCCATAGTGGGCCAGATTTCCTCTTTTTGCAGGAACCTGCCAGCAGATGAGATCAAACTGCGTGAGAGCGATAAAGCTTTCAATTGCTGCAATGGGCAGAAGAGATAACTGCCCCCACAACTGCTTCTGTTATCAGTTTACAAGTATGCCATGAGAAAACGAAGTAGCAACAGGACTGGAGAGTTCTACTGTTCTTTGCAGCACTGATGGTTTGCACGTTGTAGGGAATTAGCTCGTGTGAACTTCTTGCCTTAGCTCGTGTGAAACTCTGAGACGCAGGGCCATGAGAAAGCAACAGTGTCTTTGATGTGCTAAAGCTGGGTGATAAACAAGAGGTTGCATTACCAAAACAAAGGCAACTGATTAGCCACCTGTGTAAACAAGGCAAGGCAGTTGAGATGATATCACCTATTAGTAAAGTACCAATTAGGAGCCTAATCTCTGTAATATGTATGAGCCTATTATACAGTGTATATTAAGTTGCTTTCAATCTTCAATAAACGGAGTTTTTGGATCCTTACATTAAGTGTTCAGAGTTCCCCGTCACGACAAATGGCGCCCGGAAAGGGATCAAGTGGGGTCCCTAGAAGTCAAGTCGGACTTCTGGGCTGGAATCAAGTCGGATTCCGGAGAACCAAGTCGGGTTCTCGTGGCCGCGGTCGGACGTAGTTTCGGTCGGTCTTGCCGTGCAGCACAAGAAGGCGAAAGGGTTGGACGAAAAAGAGCTCAAACCTGCCGCCACCGAAAGCCTCTTTTTCGGGGATTTTGGATGGCGAAAGAGTTTAGTTCCGCGTCCCACGTTGCGAAAAGAGCTCAAACCTGCCGCCGCCGAAAGCCTCTCGTTCGGGGATTTTGGACGGCGAAGGGGTTAAGTTCCGCGCTTCCGGCAACGAAATAGTTGGACCCAGCGCCCGGGAAAACTCCTGAAGAAGGGGACCCGCCGACAAAGCCGCAAAGTCTCGTGGAAAGGGCTGCACACAGCGTGGTAATACGTTGTTTAGGTAATGAAGGGACAGGCGGCACTATCAGTACTCCAATGCTTTTCGGAAAAGCGAGGAGTTTAAGGTATAGACTTTAAAAAGGAACTAACAGGTGTCTGGACAAACAGAGACTCCGATTTCGCCGTTCTGAGGGACGTAGGGCGAACAGAAAGAGTCGAGAGAAACAGACGATAGACGAGACATTGCCCCCGGCGTTAAGAATTTAAAGCTGCGTGCAGAACCACAATACAAGCGGAATCTCACCCTGGTCAGGTGAGCGGCTGAAGGGGGGCATGGGGTCCGCTCTTTCATAAGAAGAAGAGGCGTGCGAACGCTCCTCTGTTTAATTCTCTCTGAGAGAGATTCTAATTATGACGAGAAAGCCCTCAAAGGGTTATTAATCCCTACTGCTCAAGCTACCTTTAAAGTGTCCATACGGGATGCTATAAGGGACCAGATAGGGGAAGAGATCAAAGTGCTGCATTAGCGAGCAGCGAAACTGAAAGCAAAGAAAGCGAGTCAGTTTTTCAACTTTTATTCATTATCTCAATAATCGTGCTACCGACAAATTTCAAAGTGCAGGCTTCTGCCCGATCATCGGCTGGCGGCCCCAGCGGCAGTTTGTCTTTAGCCCTAAACAGTTTTAGCTCTATGCAGGACGCCAGAGAGGCCACTGCCAGCTGTGCCTCCCCCTGCGGCGAGCATTCCGCCGCCCCCGCTGCCGTTTTTCCCCTCGCTGCTTCTAAAGCTGCTGCCCTGTTGCTGCCTGGAGCCGAACCCGGCTCCGATGTACTGCCGCATGGAGCCGGTCCTCCCACCTCTCCTGTGCCGGCGCCGCCAAGCCGGGAGTCACTCTGAGCTGCCTCGGCCAGGAGCCGCGCCGCTTCCGCCTGCCGCTGCCACGGCCCCCCCGCCACCATGCGCTGCCTGTGTGCGCTGCCGGCGCCGCCGTGCCTTGCCTTGCCTGCCCGGCCGTGCCCGCCGCCGCCTGCCCGTTCGCGAAAGCAATTCCTGCTGCCGTGACCCCGCCTCCACCAAGCCCGGCGAGGGACAGCTTCGGTAGGAACAGGAGGAGGGGAGAAAAGCCGCAAGCGGGCCCGCACCATCGCGCTGCTGCCGCTGCCTGCTCCCCGCGTCACCGAGAACGACATTGAACTACGAGAGCAGACAGAGAGACTTACAAAATCAAGTACAGCTGCCAGAAAACTTTTGCGGACATCTGTGGCAAACCCGAAGTTAAAGTGACGGGGCTCTCTGCAACTCCTCTGCCATTGCCAGCCCTAAGTTTTTACACACAGGTGTTTTCTAGTTATCTGCATGATGGATGAAGCCTTGAAAAGAAACTAGTTCTTCAAAACAAGGTTGATGTTATTCCTGCAAGTGACTATGACACCACCAGAAGCTGTTGTAGCTAACAGTTGTTTTAATATTACTAGAACACAGTTTATTGAACACAAATTTTTAGTATTTTTAAAGCACATAATTATAGAGAGTAAGAATTTAAGCATGGTGTGTTGTGTGACCTTTAGATTGCTCACTAGGCATTGGTGGAAGAAAGCTTGTCTATCTGATTAGTTTTATCTGTGTAGTTAAGAAACTCTAGCATTATAAGGTACTGGAGAATTATTATAATTTCTTAAGTTTGTGGAACGCAGTGACATGGAACACAGAAGTATGCTTGTATGAAATGTGTTTGAGTGCTGGTGGCCACCGTGTGGATGTGGGTGAATGGAAGTGTATACATGTGTGGGTGAATATGAATAAGTGTATATATATATAAACACAAATTCACAAACACCTTTTGGTGACCAGATCACACAAAGCAGGTTACAGTCTATTTTTGGTTCAATGTCACAATGGGTTTTAAGTCTTGTTAAGAAGGGTTTACGATGGTTTTTACTAATAAGATTTTTGTGGTGCCAAATAAAAAAAAAACGGGGAAATGTAGGGAATTAGCTCGTGTGAACTTCTTGCCTTAGCTCCTGTGAAACTCTGAGACGCAGGGCCATGAGAAAGCAACAGTGTCTTTGATGTGCTAAAGCTGGGTGATAAACAAGAGGTTGCATTACCAAAACAAAGGCAACTGATTAGCCACCTGTGTAAACAAGGCAAGGCAGTTGAGATGATATCACCTATTAGTAAAGTACCAATTAGGAGCCTAATCTCTGTAATATGTATGAGCCTATTATACAGTGTATATTAAGTTGCTTTCAATCTTCAATAAACGGAGTTTTTGGATCCTTACATTAAGTGTTCAGAGTTCCCCGTCGCGACAGCACGTGTTTGTTTTTTTATCTTACTAACTTTGTGATGTGCACGTCTGCGTGTATTTTTGTCTCAGTAGTTTTGCAATATGTAAAATTTAACACAAACATTGTGTTTGTGTCTCCTCTACTCCCAAAATTGCTTGTATGATCAGCTTATTAATAATTGAGTTATTTGTGTTTTTATCATGAGTAACTCATCGGTAAGATTGTGTAAGACAAGCCCTTTTATGTATTGCTAGTTTAATTTTTTGCCAAGTTAATTTTGTCTTTTCATTGAAAAACAAGTTGGCTTGGGAGAAGCTTTTAGATATGTGTAATTCTGTCTCAATCAATTGAGAACCAAGAAACTCCACCAAATTTAGCCTAAGAGTTGGTACAAGAATTTATGCATATTTGGAATCATACAAATATGTATTAGATGCATTAACCCTCTGCCTCAGAAGGCATCAAATTTTATATTTGGTTAAATGTCTCAAAATATTAAGAAATGAAACTAAATCTAGACAAAAGAAAAGAAAGTGTGACCTAAAGAGAATATAAGAAAGCCTTGTACCATCTCCCAAGTAACTCAGTGTGTTTGCATAAGAACTGATGTGTAATTTCAGGTCCAATTTCAAGACACATTGGCCCCTCTAACAGACACATTTTTATAGAATCCCTACTACTCATGGTGTAGAGACAGTGGCTAATGAAAATTAGATTTGTGTCAGTATTAAATCCTGATGTTTGTAACTTTGTTAATGTTAGGAAATTTGATGGTAGCTATTGAGATCCTATTATGTCACATATGCTTACTATTTTACTGTAAGATTTAGGTTTTTTGGGGGGAATTGCATTGCATTGGGAAAAGATTTGTGCTATCTCTTCCTTTTCTTTTCTCTCTGTCCACTACAGGAAAGGCACCGCCCACAAAGAAGATTCACAGTGAACAACAAAAGAAGAGAAATTATTGAATGCATAAATCACGGGGTGGTGTCAGAGACTGAAATAGTTCATGATTTATGCATTTTAACATTGCCAAGGGACTCTTGCAGGTTTCTGCAGGACTTTTGCATTAGACCTCTGATGGCCCCTCAAAGCCCATCCCCCCCTCTGCCAACCTTGGAAGGCAGGAAAAACCCTTTTCCCAGGCCCCTCATGGGAACTCTGCGCAGGCCCAGGAGATGTTGGGGGTTCGTGGCATGGCTCGGGACACCATCCATGGATATAATAACTCATAACTTCTTGGAGTGTGGGGGCTTCCCTCCCCCACCCCAACGGATCAAGGCCACCACTTCAACTCACAGACATGGAAGCTGCAACTACCAAGTTCCATCGCTGGACCCCGTGGGCAGTGACTATAGACATCTTTCCACTCTCAGCTTTGCTTTCCCTTACTCTCCCTCACCCTTATCCTGTCTTTCCTTTCTCTCCCTTATGCATTTTCCCTAAAGGTTCTCTTTATGCCATATTGCTGTAGATGAGAGATAGAGATGATACCACCCAAAGTGGCAACATATCTGTTTACCTTTGAAACAAAATTGTTCTAAAATAAACCCTACATATATATATATATTTTCAAACACTCATTATTCAGTGTCGTTTCCCTCTAATCAACCCCAAGGGATTTATTAGTAAGAACAGACCCCTTGTAGCAGGATGTTCTACCTGGAAAAGAATCTGATGGGAGAATGCAAGCAATGCAAGCTCTCTGTGGTGAGTTACTGTTGGTGCCAAGGGGTTGAATTGTGCCAAACCCAGCCTGGTTCCCCAACCTTCCAACACACATCCTGCTTTTGGAAGCAGAGTTTGACAGATCAGCTGCTCACTGGCCTGGGAATATGTGACTGGAGATCCATCACTGGATAAGCATAAAAGCCCAGGGCCAACTTTCATAGAGCAGATTCTTCCACAGACTTTGTTGAAGTGTGTGGAGCTTCTGCTGTGAAGCAGAGACACCTCTTGATGGTCACTGGCCAGGGGGTAAAAGAAAGAGAGAGATCTGCCTTGATTTATTTCTATTAGACACCGCCAGGCCCTCCCCGCTTCCTGCCGGGATTGGACACCGCCGGCGGCCCCGGCCCTGCTGGGCTCCAGCAGCCTCAGGAATTGCTCCGAAGGAGGGGCCGGGGGCTTCCTCTTGGCCTTCGTCTCCCTGGCACTGGGGCTCGGCTTCTACCTGCACCAGAAGGTGAGGGGGGTCCCAGGGGGTCGTGTGTCACCCCCAGAGTGTCTGTGCCCCCCCGGGGCCCCCCCACCCCGGTGTCACCCCCTTTTCTCTCCCCACAGAGCTCCTGAGCTGGCGGCGGCCGCAGCCCCTCCCCAGGGCCTCGGGCCCAGCCTGGACCCCCCCCGTCCCCGCGAGGATTTTGGGGAGGTCGTGTGTCCCCCCCTCCCCTGCTGTCACTCTGCCTGTGCCTCGCTGCTCCCAGTGATCCCAGGAAAGCTTCCCAGTTCTCCCCAGTCCCGGTTATTGGGAGCAGTGGGAGGAGGCGGCGTGGGGGGACCCACAGGGAGGAACCGAGTTTGGGGGGAGCAGAACAGGCCTGGGATGGATTGGGAATGGGGACCCCCCTGTGTTCCCCCATCTCAACCCACTCAGGGGGGGCTTTGGAAGGGCACCTGCCCCTCAATAAAGCACCCAGCTCACCCAAAAAGGTGCTGGGACCCCCCTAAAACCTCCCCACGGCCCCTCAAGGACCCCCAAACACACTCAAAGCCCACCCAGGACCCCACCTAACTCAATTTTTTTTGGGTGCTGGGGGCTGCTGGATCCAATCTCAGCCTTGGAATATGCCAACACTTTCAGTTTAGAGGAATTACAGAGATGTGACTGAACCACTTTTGTCCCCCAGGTTTTAATGATGGCAAATCAGACCTATTGATAGAAAGGAATTATTTAGGGATACAAATGATCAGACAAAAGATCTTCATCACAATTACTTACTGCGCAATAGAAACACTAAAACTACCAGGAGTACAGTATAACATAGAACAGTGCTCTACACTAAAGCACTTGTTGAAGCAATTCTACTAAAGCTGGCACAAAAGCAAGAATTCTTAATTAGAGATGGATAGAACTCCCCCAGACTAATGCTCGTGGGGAGATCTCTGCTCTCAACCTCCAGCAGTGACCTTGGGGGGTCCCCAGCTAAGGCAGGAATATCCACACCCCCCAAGAAGGGCTCTGCTGGAAGAACCTGCCCCTATGAAAGGGGACTGGCCCTTTCTGGTCGAAAGGGATGGACTGACAGTCACTGGACTCCAGGGGTTGCCTCACCATCAAGGGGTTCATTCGGGGTGGAAGCAGCAGTCGAAGCTCTTTCCACAGTCAGGGTACTCTTAGTGCTTCCCTTATGGTGGGTCCGTTGGTGTTTGGTCAAGTAAGAGCTGCGGGTGAAGCTCTTCCCACACTCCCCACACTTGTAGGGCCATTCCCCAGGGTGGATGCGCCGGTGGGTGACAAGGTGAGAGTTCCGCTTGAAGCCCTTCCCACAGTCAGTGCAGCGGAAGGGCCTCTCATCCGTGTGTGTCTGCTCATGCCTGAGGAGATTGGAGCTGTTCTGAAACCTCTTCCCACATTCCCCACACTTGTAGGGCCTCTCCCTGGTGTGGATGCGCTGGTGGGTGACAAGGGTGGAGTTCCGTTTGAAGCCCTTCCCACAGTTGGTGCAGCAGAAGGGCCTCTCATCCGTGTGCATCTGCTCATGCTTGAGGAGAGCTGAGCTGGTCTGAAACCTCTTCCCACATTCCCTACACTTGTAGGGCCATTCCCCAGGGTGGATGCACTGGCGGGTGCGGAGCTTGGAGCTGTGCCTGAAGCTCTTCCCACATTCCCTTCATGTGTAGGGCCATTCCCCAGTGTGGATGTAGTGGTGTCGGAGCAGTTCAGAGCTGTCCCTGAACCTCTTCCCACATTCCCCACACGTGTAGCGCCGTTCCCCACTGTGGACGCACTGGTGTCGGATCAGGTTGGATCTGACACTGAAGCTCTTCCCACATTCTGCACATGTGTAGGGCCGTTCACCAGTGTGGATGTGCTGGTGGGTGAGAAGGTTGGTGCTCTTTCTGAAGCTCTTTCCACATTCCAAGCACTCAAAGGGCTTCTTCCTGCTGGGAGGCTGCTCAGAGACCACCAGGTCAGAGCTCTGCCTCAAGCTCCAGCCGCCTTCCCGGCACAGGTTGGGTCTTTCCTCCTCAAAGCACCCTGGGCTGGCTTTGGAGCCCCTCCTGTGGGGGGATCTCTGGGCCTTTTCCTCCCCTCTGCCTTCCTGCGCCGTGGAGCCCTGCAAAACGGCCTCTCCCACCAGCTTCTCACAGGGGGATTTGTCCTCCGGGCTCTCTGTCCTCAGCTCGGGGCCTGGGGCAGGAAGCAAGAAGGACAGGGAGGGGATTTGCCTCCGGACCACAGGGAAGGCCAAGGACATCCCCCCAACTCCGGCCCCGGCAGGACGGCGGCGGCAGCGGGGTTGTCCTGCAGCCAGGGGCCATGCTCGGCTGCCAGAGCCAGCACAACACCCGCCCAAAGGGCCACTGACTTCCTCCTCACCTGCCTGGGGGGCCTGTGGCATCTTCCTCTTCCTCGCAGCCTCCTCCTCCATCTGCCCAAGCTTTGGGAAGGACAAATCCTGATGGGGGGAAAAACAAGGGCTGAGCTCGTTGGCTTGGGGGTTCCTCCTGCCCAAGTCCATCTCTAGAACTCACTGGGCATCCTGTGTCCATAAAAACCTCCAAAACACCAAGATTCAGCCCAGAAAAACTCAAACCACCAAGATTCAGGAAAAAAAAACCCCTCAGAAATAGTGAGATGAACCCCCCAAACTGCAAAAAGTTAAGATTCAACCGAAAAATACTCCCAAATATGAAGCTTAGCCCAAAAAGTCTCTCTCAGAAGTTCCCCCTCTCTGGTCTCTCCCCTCTGGGGTTCAGAGGGTCTCCCCTGTCTGGGATGCTGGAGGTCCCACTTAGGGATGCTGGGAGTGTTGGGGGTCCCAAGGGTCCCTTCCCCTGTGACTCCCGCCTTCCGGGTGCCGCATTCCCAGACATTCCCCCTCTCCAGGGTTTCCACTTTGTTTTCCCAGGGATCCCAGGGGTCCCCACTGTCCTACTGTGCTGCTCTGAACCAGCAGAGTATTTGGAGAACAGATGGTGGTAAAGTGTGGTCTGTGCCAAGTGTTTTAGGACTCTTTGGCCCAAAGAAATGTCTGTGCCCCGAGAACATTGGATCCAGCAGCCCCCAGCACCCCACAGGAAGTTGGGAGCTCAGGGGGCCACCTCCCTTTGCCAACCCCCCTGTGCCCAAAGACCCCCATCGGACCGTCGGACCCACCAGACCACCCCCCCTTTTCCCTGTTCCTTCCACTTTTCCATGGTCTCCTCAATCCCCAGCCCCCTCAGGATCACTTCTGGGGTCCCAACCCCCACTTTTTTTCCCCCTCCCCCATCCCTTCCACATCATCTCCCCAATCCCCAGTCCCTTCATGCTCAGTTTGGGGGTCCCACCCTCCCCTTCCCCAACTCTTCTGACCTCTCCCACCCATATCCCATTATCCCCCAAACCTCAGAGCCCCTCCCCCCTCCACTTTTAGGGGGTCCCACTTCCCTCCCACTCAGTTTGGGTTCCCGCCACCAGTTTTGCCCCCTCTGACCCCCTTTTTCTCACCAATCTCCCCCTTCCCACCCCCCACTTACCCGAGAGCTCCTTGCTCGCAGCCGGGGGAGCTCCCAGCACCACCAGTGCCCAGAGAAGTCCCCCCAGAAAAGGGGTTGGGTGGGGTCCTGGGTGGGCTCTGAATGTTTTTGGGGGTCCTTGGGGGGTAGTGGGTTAGGGTGTCCCACTGCTGCCTCCCCGGCCCTGCCGAGCCGAGAAGTGCCACAAAATTGCTCTGACTAAGAAACCTCGACACAAGTTATTTATCCCGTCACCTTCTCAGCTTATCCCTTCCCGCTCCCAGCCCCCTTTGCTGGCTGTCTCTCTCTTCCCTGTGCCCATCAGTCACAGCTGCAGTTCTTCCCTCCATCACAGTCTGCAGGCCCTTCTGAGGAGGTGCTCAAGGAGTTGGTGGTGCCGATCTCCCCCTGCTGCAATTCCTTTCCCTCAGTTATGGCTCAGAGTGCCTGACTTCCCTCCTGTGCCTCTGGGCCAGCCTGTTCCTTCCTCCTGGCATTGTCTCCTTTTCACCGTCAGTGGGCAGCGAGGGGCCCTGGATGGTCCCTACAAACCCCCTGCCCTCAGTCCCTCCTGGGCTGGCACATCTCCGAGCCTGTGTCACGGCACCAGCTGCTGCCAAGGGACGGCCCTGCTGCAGTTTGCACTTAAACCCAACAAACTGGGGCATCGGGGCAGCCTGGGAAACCAGGGCTTTGCTCCCACAGCTCTGCAGGGGCTTCCTGTGGGCTCTCAACCTCCTTTGGGCATCCCCTGCTCCGGTGTGGGCTCCTCCGGGGCTGCAGGGGGGTCTCTGCTCCATCCTGGACTCATCCACAGGTCACAGGCCCTTCAGCTCAGGCTCACCCAGAGCTCCAGCCGGTTCCGTGGAGCAGCGATCCCCTGGGTCCCTGCCAGTGCAGGCACCTTGCCAGGGCTGTTTCTCCAAACCACCAAACCACGTGTGCCAAATGCCCTGGTTGGTCAGTGCCGGCTGGGGGAGCGGGCACTTGCTGAGGGGATGAGAAAACTGCACCCGGGGCTGGGCTGAAAGAGGCTTCAGCAGCACTTCTGATGGCCCAGGGGCAGCATCTGGCTTCTCCCAGACAGAGAGATGGCACTTGTTCCTCTGCAGGGAGTCAAGGGCAGGAGGGTGACTCCTGCTGCATGCATGGAATGGCAGAGGATCCCTTGGGTCCCCAGGATGGATCAGCACTCAGGGATACAAACTGCCCTCAGGATCAGGATGCAGCTGCCAGCACAGATTTCCTTGCAAAGGCTGCAGGAAGTCAAGCTCTGGAGAGATGGTTGTGCCCCATGGATGGGATTGCAGAGGCTCCCTCAGGTCCCCAGCACAAATTACTAACCAGCAAAATACACAAAAGGCCCCCATAAAGATTTCTGGGGGAGTGTCCTGCAGGGAGGGGACAGTGTCACCCCACCAGGGCAGGGTTGGCAAGTGGGAGGCTGCTCCAGGGCTCTGCAAGAGGCCTCGTGCTATGCTTGGCCCCAGCACTGGCTGGTCCCAACACCCCCGGCTGCCCCCGGCCCTGGGCAGCTCTGCTGCCACAGGTTGTGCCCTCACCGTGGCCCTGCAATGGCCCTGCCTGTCCCTCACCCGTGGCCCTGCCCGTGGCCCTGTCCCTTGGCTCTCTCTCTGCCAGCTGAGTGTGGGGCACACGGGCTGGGGGTCCCTCCCGCGCCCCCCGGGCAGACGGCGTTGGCTGGGGGGGATGTGAGGGCTGGGCCTGCTCAGCACAGCCCCGGGCTCGTGCCCAGCGCCTCTTTCCTGCCCCACACAAGAGCTTCCCGGCACCCCCAGGGCTCCCCTGCTGCTGCCTCTGCTCCTGGCCCTGCCTTTGCTGCTCCCTTGGCTGGGGCAGTGGCTGCAGGGGGGGGATGGCAGCAGCTTCAGCTCCACGGCACTTCCTGGAGGGAGCTCAGCCCAAGGGGGACGGGCAGAGACCTGATGGGGATGGACAGGGGCCCAGCAGGGACAGACAGGTCCTACAGGGGAAGGCACAGGGACAACCTGGCCCCCCACACTGCCAGGGCTGTCTCTGCTCCTCCTTGCAGGCTCCGTGGCCAGGCACAGTTTGTGTTCCTGGGTGCCACCATCTCAGCACTTGGAGATGCTCAAATCAGCGCCCGCAGCTCTGCAGCAAAGCCCCAGCTCACCTGGCACACAGAGGATGGAGACAGCACCTTCTTGGGGATGGGCACCTTCGACTGTTCCCCAGCATGGGGGTCTCCTTCCTCAGCAGCACCTCTGCCTTGCACTTATTCTCAGGCTCACCTCAGGGACAGCTCTGGGCTCACCTCCACACCACTTCTCAGCCTCACCTCAGGGCCTGGGCTCAAGGACAGGAACCCGCAGGGAGGGGACATCATGTGCAAGCTGAGGTCTGCCTGCTTGCACTGGCCTCTGGGCTTCTTTCTCCTTCTACAACCAGCCCAGAACTTAGCCTGCTTTTCTAACACCACACATTTACAGACTAACCTTGCAGATATATATGGATAGACATCTCTATCACCCTGTGGATAGAGCCTCAAGCATGTGCTGCCATAGAAATGGCAATCAGAGAATCACAGAATCAGCCACGTTGGAAAAGACCTCTGAGATCATCAAGTCCATCCCTTGATCCAACTCTGCTGTGCTTCCCAGACCATGGCACTGAGGCCACATCCACTCTCACCTTCAACACCTCCAGGGATGCTGACTCCACCCCCTCCCTGCCCAGCCCATTCCAAGGCCTGATTACTCTCTCAGCAAAAAATTGCTTCCTAATATCCAACCTAAACCTCCCCTGGCACAGCTCAAGACCCAGTCCTCTTGTCCTACTGCTGCTTCCTGGCACAAGAGCCCCACCCCCACCTGGCTACAACCTCCTGGCAGGGACTTGCAGAGAGTCAGGAGGTCTCCCCTGAGCCTCCTCTTCTCCAACCTCAACAACCCCAGCTCCCTCAGCCTCTCCTCACACCACTTGTGCTCCACTCCCTTCCCCAGCCTCGCTGCTCTTCTCTGCACCTGCTCCAGCCCCTCAATGGCCTTCCTCAACTCAGGGGCCCAGAGCTGGACACAGCACTCCAGGGGTGGCCTCACCAGCGCTCAGTCCAGCCCAACAATCACTTCCCTGCTCCTGCTGACACACTCTTCCTCAGACAGGCCCCTCTGCAGAGCCCTCCTGCCTTCCAGCACATCAACACACCCCCCAGCTTGGTGTCAGCTGCACCTTTGCTGATGAAATGCCTGGTTCTGCAGGAGCTGCAGATGCTCAAGGGGCAGCAGGACCAAGTCAGGGGCCTGGGGGGCTTTGGGGTCCAGGAGGGTCCTGGGGGAGCTGGGGAGGTGACTGGGGGTAAAAACCAGGACAGACCAGGACAGACCAGTACATCCTCACTGCTCCCTAGATCTTTCCTGGAGCTGGGCCATGTTGTCCTGGGACACCTGAGCCCCCCCAGTGCCCTCCCAGTACAGCCCAGTGCCCCCAGTACAGCCCACTGTGTTCCTGTCCCAGGGTGCCGGGTGATCCCTCTTTGGGGGAGGTTAGAAGGGATTTGAGGGGGGGCTGGGGGAGATTTGGGGGGATTTGGGGGCTTTTGGGGGGCTTTGGGTGAATTTGGGGGAGTTAAAAGGGTCTTGGGGGCATTGGGGGGTCAAAACTAACTAGGAGGAAGGGGATTAAAGGGAAAAAAGCCAAGCTGGGGGACATTTAGGGGGGGTTAATGGGGTCTAGAGGGGGACAGGAGGGCCTGCACCAAGAGCAGGTGAGTCCAGAGACCCCCCTCGTGTCCCCGAGACCCTTTTGGTGTCCCCAGTTCCCCCCTTGACACCCCCAATTCCACTGTCCATAAATCCCTCCCCACTGTCCCCAAACCCCATCCCTGATGTCCCCAACCCTCCATCTCCCCTCAGGAGCACCCCTGGACCCTCTGACTAAAAATGCCCCCCCCCCCCCCCAGATTGGCCAAGGGAATCTGGGGACACGTTGGGGGGCTTTGCGAGGCACTGGGTGATTACTGGGGGATACTGGGGGGAGATGGAGGGTTGGGGACATCAGGGATGGGGTTTGGGGACAGTGGGGAGGGATTTATGGACAGTGGAATTGGGGGTGTCAAGGGGGGGAACTGGGGACACCAAAAGGGTCTCGGGGACACGAGGGGGGTCTCTGGACTCACCTGCTCTTGGTGCAGGCCCTCCTGTCCCCCTCTAGACCCCATTAACCCCCCCTAAATGTCCCCCAGCTTGGCTTTTTTCCCTTTAATCCCCTTCCTCCTAGTTAGTTTTGACCCCCCAAT